GTGTTTCCGAGATTGCTGCCCTATCCGTGTGGGGGGACCTCTGTATCTTCCATTCAAACAGAGTAGTCCTGCGAATGGATCCCTCCTTTTTGCCCAAGGTCAACTCATTGTACCATCGCGCCCAAGAACTGGTATTACCTGATTTCTGCCCGGGCCCATGGCATTGAGTGGAAACCTAGTGGCATACCTTGGACATCAGGAGGGTCCTTCGCAGGTACCTTAAAAAGACTGCCCCTTTCCGGAGATCTGAGGCGCTCTTCATCTCTTTCTTCCTGCATCAATGGGCAAGAAGGTCTGTTCTTCTACCATTGGCCGCTGGCTTAAGGCGTACATGTGCAAGGCGTACGTGTTCAGGAATAAAACCCTGCCAGGTAGGATTCTACCACACTTTGACAAGGAGTGCTTCCACCCCTGCAGCTTGGGCTACCCAGGCTTCTGTGATCGACATTTGCAGGGCGGTCACCTGGACTTCACTTACACCATTCATTCGCCATTACAAGGTTGACTCCTTTGCCTCGGCTGAGGCATCCTTCGGACGGCGGGTGTTGCAAACGGTCCGCTCTATGACGGCCACCCGGGAGCATTCAGCCTCCCTCCCTTCTTAGTACTTGCTTGGGTATATCCCACGCTTTTGGATTCTCCAAACAGCGTGCTGGAGAACGGGTGTTGTCTTACCTGAATGTCCCTTCTATGCGCGCTACTTGAGAATCCAACCAGCCTTGGCAGGCTTCTGCTCTTCTGTTCCGGATGGCTCTACTGGACATTCTACCTCTCTCTTCCTTCATGAACAAAACTGAACCTCAGCCTGTCGGTGGAGGTGGAGTCAACAAGATTTAAAGATATATTCACTCAGTCTCTGGCTAACAGACTAAGAATAACCCACGCTTTTGGATTCTCAAGCAGCGCGCATAGAAGGGACTTTCAGGTAAGACAACGTCCGATTTCCATAATTACCAACAGTGCTTTTATCTGATATACATGGCCAATTTTGGGCCGAGTTCATAAAATAGTTTATTTTGGTCTTTACATTATCCATTGCTGTCTGTTGCCACAAGTCCCATAAATTCAACTATCTGTATTAGTTCCAAGAAAATAAGATGATATTCATTATTATCCATCAGGTTGGAGGATGGGATAGAGCCAAATGTTAAAGCTCGCAGATATGAACCGTACACATGACATGCTAATTGATACATTTGCTCTTTGATACTGGATATAGAGTAGGAGATTCTAGACAAATTTGATAACCAGAATTTCCAACATTAAATTCTCCCAATAAAGTTTTATTTAATGCGTTACAGCTGCTTGTTGTAACTACTGTTTGGTTTGGTCTGGTCTTCTGCTATGAAAGAACATCCAAGTAAGACAACCCACATTCATCCTCTGCACTAACTAGTGCTTCATATTGGCGGTGGGAGCTGGGGATGGAAATACATATGCATTACATTATTCTAAGAAGGAGTGGGGCAGTCAGTTTTATGTAAAACACAGAAAATGTTAAAGACATGAGTTTAAAAAAGGAAATAGAACTAAATCTAGTTCACTACTCGCTATACTTGTATCTTTCTATCCTTACAAACTATCCTTGATTCCATCACTTATATCCTTATATCCACTTATATGAAGCATCACTTCATGTATATTGTCTTTTATTGTTTACAAATTTCATTGATTGTTGAGGTTTCACCATTTAACTATGATTTTTTTCGGTCTTACCTTTCCCTTCTTCCTTAATATATTTTCTCACTTATTCATCCTATATTACCAAATCACCTTAATGTATTTCTTTTGTACTTGTCATTCACTTTTGCATTCAATCCACATTCATTCAATACCCATTCATATTTCTTTCTGCTTTATTAGACACACACTTTCTAAGTAGCCTATTCCCACTGCATTCAGCTTTTGTTTATCTCCTGACATACAAAGTACACAGAACAATGTGCTTGTATATACCTATTTTTGCTTCTTTTGAGAAACATTCCTTGCAACAGACCAATTATCATTCTGCCAACATTTTTATTTTCATCACAAGCACTCTTCATTCTCTCTGCCTCTTTTAATTTAACCATTCTTTGTTGTTCGGACCATGTTCTTTCCAATTTGAGGGGACATTTTTTCTTTAGAACTCAGAACAAATGATCACATTCCAGTTCTGCTGAACTCATATATGATTGTTCTGAAAAAAGAAAACCTGCAATAAATCGTAAGGGATCCTGGATAATTTTTTTTCAGCAAGTAGGGCAAGTTTGATTCATATCACCTTTCTAATCTCTTCAATAATTCCCAGCATGGCATATGCCATCACCAGCTTACTCTTCTGGCCACTCAGTGCCTTCCTTTTCTCCCTTGCCCTCACCAATTCAAATAATTGATGTGCTAGTCCATGTCCCTCTTCCCTACTAAAATGTCAACAATAAACCCAACATAGCACATCCCACTGGCGATTCCAATTTCTAGTGTGTGCCCTCCCTCTCTTCAGCTATTGGTATTTTTGGATTTTTCCCTTAGTTACACCCCTCTCCCAAAACTCTTTTGCTCAGAACTTTAATTTCATCTTGTATAAAGAACAAAACATCCAAAACAAGTGTTTGGATTCATGCAAAATGCATTGTTCAGTGTACATAATAATAGTTCATGTATATAACAGTTTGAAAATCCTTATTTGCAGCTATTTTTTTTCCTATTTTTTCTCATCCATATTTTTATAACAGGATGCTCAATCTCTTACGTTTTGGAGCATTTTGGCCAATATTCCACACACTCAACCTAAAGCCAATTTTATATGAAATATGCTCACACTATTCTATGCAAGTTAAGATATTTAATTTAGAGACTACTTTGCAAACCAGGAGATCATTACATATATCCTATCAACTAGTAGATACACACAATGTTGTGATACTTACTCAGGATGATCATATAGTATGTAGGCCTAGCTAATTAACATCTCTTCTGCCTTTTCAACTATTAGGTATGGAAGGGCACACACACACACACACACACACACACACACACACACACACACATATCTAGGTAATATAGTTGTTAAAATACTGCTCAGTGTACAAAAGTATCATGTTTTCATAGAAATCTGGGAATTGCTGTCTCAACATCTGGAAAGTGCCAACATTGGCAAAGGCTAATAAAAGCTTTATGTGATCATCCACATATTGCAGAAACATTTCTGGTCAGTTTTAAAATGTGAAATACTGATATGTCTGAGCTGCCATAGAGCTTGTACCACTACAGATTTCATTCTGATTGATTAAAAGGCGCTTCCTGTTTTTTAGACACATTCAGTGTTGCTATAATGTAGTTGTTTACAAAAGTGTTTAGAGCGTGCAAGGGTCTCTGTGTACTTGAAATAGAAGTTAAACCAATTTTCTATCCAAGTTGCTCTTCAGTTGACAAATCTCCCAATGAAGATTGAATGTTTCTATTATCAAAGCAGAAGAACTGTAGATTAAACCCGTCATTTATCCCTGTCATAAAATGCAATCACTGTTCATTCTCTGCACTGCCTAGCACAATTGCTTCAGTTTGGTGTTTGCTCAGGGCAGTGCGACTAGGGGGAGGACGATGACAGGAGAGGAAATAACAATAGTAAAGAGATATTTGAAGACCTTCTGTTGTTGTTCTTTAACATGCCCTCGCCCAAGGATTTTAAGACAATTAAATATATATTTATGGTAAGAATGGAAAATGCCTTAGTTATGTAAATTTATTTTAGTTCAACACTGGACTCAATAAAGAAGTACAAAGTGAACAATTGTAACAGAGGAGCGCTGTTAAGAGTATTTAAATTAAATATTGATGTATTTTAAAATTCAATAAAAAATTCTAAGGAAAGTTACCTAGAAGTCGTGTTCTTAGGTTAATCTTGTTTTTTTAATCTAAAGAATGATGGAAGCTGTCTGGCTCTGTGATATGAACTACAATCAGCTTAAAAATAATTGACAAATTAATCCCTTCACAGCACTGCAGTTGTAGAGATGTTAAGTTTAATTAGGCCTTATTGATTGCTTTGTATGATTGAGGAATAAAGGTAATATCTCTGGTTAAGGTCTAGCACAGATATTTCTGACCTTCTAAGCTGTACATTTTAATTATTGATTGTGACGATTGCGGTTATTACAGAGGGAAGACTTTAATTCTTTCACAATGAGAAATGTGGGAGAGAGGCAAAATTGCCCTCCCTTCCCATGAAGATATGGGTTTTTCATTGAAAGCTAAAAATATATGATTCAGATTCTTATATTCAGATTCATAGTCATCTTTTGCTTGAATGTAACAGTACAGCCTGTCTAGACAATATTACAATCACTGTGAAGGATAAGATTCAGCGTTTAAAGACATTTTTCTACCCAGTACTGCTGCTGGAAGCCCAAGTGGCTGCTATATTACCCATTTTCATGTTGTTGTGCCCTTTTCTGCAGATGTTAGTTATGATTACAGTGGATCAAAGTGTTATTGCAATGAGTTTTATCTGAAGATGCAATTAAAGAGTGTTCAGAAACCCTAACACATCTAAGATGTAGTGGACAAATTGTCTTTTAATAGAATTATACTACATCAATTTGTTCCAAATCCATTGACTTCAGGTGGGAGCGCAATTCAAGATTCTGGTTCTTGTGGTCCAATATGTGTACCTTCATTCTTATGAACCTATTACGCTCATGTTCTTTCTAAGGCTCTGGGCCCATTTTTGCTGAGCAGCCCACTCCCAGCCTCTCACCATACCTACCCATGCCCATACTAATTCATACTTTGGAGCTTATTTGCTTGGGACGTTAGACTTGTTTTACTTTTGTTTCATTTTAGGCAAATTATTAATGCTTTGAAGAATATTGCTCCAAAAGATTTTCTGATAATTTTAAATATGAACAATTCTGTATTTGAAAGATAGCCATTCACTTGTTCTTGGTTAGAGTGAGAGTAAACGACAACATGTGGTATTTGTAATAAATAATACATAAAATTATTTCTTTTACATGTAGGTGAGTGAAGTTACTGTGGAACAACTGGTACAGCAACACCCACATATCACCTTCAGTACAGTGCTACAAGATTGCAAGCGGACCTTGGAACGGGCATACCAGATGGGTTGGATACCCAGTATGTCCAGTGCCTCTTAACTCATGCTATGGCATTAAAAAAAAGAGATTTAAACTGAACAATTGAAATTGGTTAAGGATTTTTAATTAATATTTTTTGGTTTTTATTAAATATATGTTTGGTGTATGTATATGCAAGAGAGAGAGCATGAGTGTATGGCAAATGTCTATTCAGTCTTCTAATGGAAATATCAGAAGAAAAATATGGTCAGATATATTTAATTTTTCTGAAATGTTCATTTGTCAATTTAAAATCTGCAAATCAGTAAGATTTTGCAGAGAGCTTGCCCTTTTTTTGTAAATTGAATGTTTACATAGACTACTGTTTGGATGTTTTTTCAAGGTATATGTTCATGATAGAAACAATTCTTTAGAGATGCATTATAAGATTTTTTTTTTTTTGTCTGTTTAAGAGCTTTAGGTTTTAACTTCTCAAGTAAGTTTCTTCTTCTAAGGTTAGTTTCAGCAGTGTAGTATGTTGTTATGCCTTTTTGTTTCATGCTATTTCTTTATTATTAATAGCTCATAGTTCTTTTTGAATTGTAAGTTGCAACTCCTTTCCCTTAAATTAGAAGTAATAGATAATCTTAAATCAGGTTATCAAAATATTGCTAACCTCTTGTGCGTTTTTGAAATGCACATTTATGAAAATCTACAAAGGTACAAAAATATAACATTTTTATGATAAATTTTATTTTGAATGGAATCTTTAATAAATGCTGGACATAAGCATAATGGCAATTTAAGCAGACTATCTGATTGGTCTCTATTGGTTCTACTAAAATAATATTTTTCAGTTGCTTGTGAATGTATGTATTTAAGTGGATATTCCTTGATTACATTTCTACATCTTTCACACTTTCCAGTTTTGTACATCTTCATTTTAATTTCCAGCACTTTTTATTATTTAGATCTGTGAAAAGTAGTGTATCTAAGGATTCAGGATTTCTCAGTGTGTAAAGAAACCTCAGACTTGCATTTCCTGTATGCTTCTGCAGCATCTCAGGGGAGAAGGAAAGAAACATCTGCCTCCACTTATAACTTCCTGTTATATCTAAATCCAGGGCTGTGGAGTCGGGAGATAAATGTTCCGACTCCGACTCCTCAGTTTTTTGTACTTCCGACTCTCTGACTCCGACTCCTCTGTATTAATATGCGAATGTATTTTAATGAAGTCATTAATTATAACGTTTTGTGAATTGGGACATTTAAACTTGCTTTTTTTTTTAATTCCAATCTAAATTTAGTAGGAGTCGGAGTTGGTGCATTGTTTGCCGACTCCGACTCCAGGTACCCAAAATTTCCTCCGATTCCGACTCCACAGCACTGTCTAAATCTGCAGGATTTGTAGTTAATTGAAAGTACGGTTAAGTCAAACAAGTAAGTATCAAACTATAGTATCTGTTTCTGGCCTATTTCTTTATATATAATTTAAACGAAGATGTTTGGAGATGTATTTCTCCAAAAAATGTTCATAATTTATTTCAAACTAGAAATGAATTGTTTTGCTCTCTTTCTATGATGCCCAACTGCTCTGTGATTCAGATCTGATGTTCATAATGCATTTTTCTTCTCCATGCCAATATGGTGACTTTTTCAAAATACAAGAAAATTCCTGTAGGAAGTATGCAAATCTATTCATGGGACTTGGATTTGAGTAAAAATGTTTACACTTATCAAAACAAATTAGGCCATGCTCATAAATATTTTTATGCTATCATTCACTCAGGTTTACAACTATAATGATAAGTTATAATGAGATATGTAATCTCAGATGGAATCTTAACAACTTTAAAAAACGACAGCATATAAAACCACTTGCTCAAAATAATCTTTGTATGACCATGTATCTGCATTCATGTTAACCATAAAGCACCATACTGATGTAAATCATCCCTTAGTAAGAAGTTTTATTATCCCACCATGTTATATAATCCTAGGAATAAATTTTATGGAATTCAATCTGGCCAAATGTGTATAGAATGACATTGTTATTCTTCATTCAACGTAGAATATCAAGTGCTGCAGTAAGGTAAAGAGAAGATTTTGGTAACATTAAATACTTGATACTGACTGTTGTAAAACCTTTTTTGATGAGAAACTTTTATATAGAATCAGTGTTTCATTTTAGTGAGGCATACTAGTTATGTATTTATCTATCAAATTTGTACACCGTTCATTTCACATAAGTAACTTTTGGTGATTTACAAACAACCTAATAAAACAATATAAAATATGACTAACAGCAAAGTTAAAAGCACAATTAAAGCCAAAGTTAAAATTTATAACTGAAAAGTGAAAATTAAAGTTTAAACATTCACAAGACTAAAAGGTTAACTAGACTGAGAGAGAACCCTCAAGCCTCCAGCCATTCCCAGGGTTGCATAACTATCTTAAATCCTCATGCTAAGTGGCATAGCCAAGAAAACCAGATCAGAGGGGTCTCACCTTCCCTCTGGACTAAAATGTTCCAGGGAGCAGGGGAAACAGCAAAAAAGGCCATCTTCCTAGATCTTGCCAGTCAAAATTCTTTAACTGACAGGATTCACAGCATGCCCTCCTTTGACCAGGTAGGATGGGTTGATGTAATTGTAATAAGAAGGTGCCTTAGATACCCTTGTCCCATGCTGTGACGGATTTTAAAGGTGATAACCTTACCTTGAATTGGACCCAGAAGCCAACTGGCACTCAGCGCAGCTTACATAGCAGAGATATTGCATGTGCCACACTAGGCCAGAACTGCTCACACCACTACATTCTGCACCAGTTGCAGCTTCCAGATAGTCTTCAAGGGTAGCCTCATGTAGAGTGCATTGCAGCAGTCCATGTGGGAGATAACCAGGGCATGAGTGATTGAAGGGCTTCTCAATCCAGGAAAGGGAATTAACTGGGTGCACACCCAAACTTCTCAATTCCTATCTACTAAGGAATCAAATGCTTCCCTATCATTTATAATTAAATTGGATAATTTTCATATTTTATTGTATCTGATAGTGTCAGTATTCTTTTATTATTATGTGAATTCCTCTGACTCCCTAAATTGATTAATTGAATATAGATAGAAAATCAGTATAATATATGAGGTGGTTATTTTTATGTATATTAGACTACTATGAAAGGTTACATTTCAGGATAATTGACAAAGACACACAGAAAAACAGAATAGTAGATAACCTTTAGAATATAACAAATTAATGAAGGATTTTTTTAAGATGTAACACTGAATTTGTTTTTAAAGGTTAGCACATTTTAATCAATAATATCAAAATATTCAAAATTGACCTGAAAGTTGTCATTTTTCTCAAAATGTCTGGCTAAACCAGAAGACTTCAGCCAAAATAATTTGGAAAATAGCATTTATATTTTTGGTCTTGTTTCTCTTTTTAGAGACTGAATTGTGATAAATCTCACAATTTTTTCAAGAAAAATATTCCGTTTTCCTTCTTTGATGCGAGTACTAAAAGGGGATAAAAATAGTGACTTAAGTATTATAATGTTCATTTTGAAAATTAGTCAATGGTAAGTACTAAGTAATTTTGTAAGATCTTACCCAATACAATATATATAGAAAAGATTTAACGAGTATATACTCTGTTTCCCCCCAAATAAGACATCCCCTGATAATAAGCCCAATCGGGCTTTTGAGTGCATGGCAATAAGGCCAAGCACTTATTTCAGGGTTCAAAAAAATATAAGACAGAGTCTTATTTTTGGGGAAACATGGTATTTCAGTAGCAATTGTACAAGAGGTCGCTGAAGTTTAAATAAATTGTGAATGTGTCTATACAGTGACCTATATAAGCTTTCAACAGACACTTATCAAAGTTCATCATGATGAAAGTGAGATTTTTACCAACTGTAGAAGCTTTGCACCAGCAATGACTAATGATAAAATATGCTAGTGTAACTTTAGCTTTGTAACAGATTCTGAAATAAAAACTCTGCCCTAATAGAAATATTTATATGCAAATTTTACATAGTAGGTATGATTAGTGGAAAGTAACATGTACTTAACTCTAAATGTCTGTCAGAATTAAGGCTTTTATTTAAACCTATAATCTTCCCTACTGTAACAATCATCTACTCCTATATCATTTCTCTGTAGCAGAGTTTCACACTGAGAATTGGCATGGGGCTAACATCTAGGTGCAGACTGAGTAATTCTGAAACACAGTTTTATGTGCACACATGGATCAATAAATCATATTCTTACCATTCATTCAAAACAGTATCAGAATACCATCTAATGACTAATCCAGCTTTAACTCATGCTTTGGAATAATAGCTTCAGTTGAATATGTTCATAGCCAGAAATGTTACTTATGTTGAACAATCTATAATCTCCAAACTCGCACACCAGATGGCTGCTCTTGTGGAATAGGATAAACTTAGACAGGATTTTTGTTAAAAAATCAGGACAGTGATGTTGGAGTGGTTTGATACTGGAATCTTGAACTGAAAAATAGCTGTCATGTTTAGAATTGAAGTGGAAAAATAAATCATTGGTAGAGCAATATAGTGCAAAATATTTTGTAACCATCTACAGTATGTATTAAAAGTATATCTTTAAAGAGTGTAGTAAAGGCAAAAAAAACCCAAAACTATTTTTTATGAAGCACTCAACATGAATTCAAAAAGCTAATTTAAAAAAAAATGAAGAAATTAATATTTAATATATGGTTCAACACTGTTTATATATACAAAATTGAGAGAGAGAGAGAAATCCCTTTTACGTTGCTTTTTACATGACCATTGGATTTATTCATTTATATTCAGAGGCCAAAAATAGTGTACAAGAAGATGCAAGATATAGAAGTCAATTGATGCTAATGCTATGATAGTTCTTTATAAAAAAAATAGAATAAAATAATTAGAATAAAAATGCAAATAAAAGTTTCTTAGCTAGTTATATTGGTTCTTTAACCAGGACAACAATCAATCCAAGAGCTTCCAATAGCAATTGCAATCAAGCAAATTTTTGCTACATTCTTGTAGATTTCAATGAAGCCAACAAGTAAAAATGGGGGTGGTTATGAGAAGTGCAATTGAAAGAGTAAAAGGAATTTCTTTGGTATATTCTATAGCCATGCTATCTTTAGCTCATAAAGAAATGCAGCCCTGATGTGGCACTGCCTCTTTGGGACCTTCCCACTGCAGGTTACTAGGCTGGCTTAGGCATTCTGAAAGTCCCAAAATTAATGTATAATTAATCAAACATATTAATGTTTCAGATATGAAACAAAGACACCAAGTACTAAGCAATTGATAAAGAGGTAATATGCAAAGCAACAGTTTAATGTAATGTGTGTACATTGCTATTTCTTAATAGTAATGTAAGCATTTTGTACATTATATTAGATATTACTGTTATTAAACAATCCTCCAAAAAATCAGATATTCTTTTGATTTTATTGAGATGAATTCAAATTTTCATCAAATGTCCTATTTGAGATTTTCAGTGGGTCCTGTCATGTTTAAGTAAACCAACTTGATATCTTATTTTTTTTGTTCATTTTAATAATAACATTTGATGTTGAAAATGTGAATATTAGAATTAGATAACCAAATATATGTGCACTGTGTGTATTCATGAGTTTATAAGTCTAAGATTCCTCAGACAGCATTAACAAGCTCAGGACTGATTAATTGACTGATTTGATATTAAAGCAAAGGGAAGCACATGTAACTGAATAGTAGAGTCTGCCAAGTAATTTCAAAGTAACATAAGGAATGAGACCATTGTTCCCTGCAACCTTCTGCTATTATTTATTTATTCCAACAAGGGGATGCAATAAAATAAGAAAAAGTCAAGCAGGAGTTATTTTATATTTCAATATATACAAAAGTTCAGCAAAACA